AATTTTCATACATTGCAATCAGTTCGAGAAAGATCGTATCTGTGGGTGCGAAGTAGGGCACCGTGTTCTTGAGCATTGCTCTCGCAACGCGGCAAAACTTATTAAACTTTGCACACCTTCGCTCGACGCATCAAGGAAACGCGATTTTCGAAATAACAAATTTTGTAAAACGCTGACGTAGAAATAAATAATATGGGGAGAGAAGAGGAGGAGAATGGATATTATTAATAATAGAGAGATAAAATAAAAACATGAAATAAAAAACGTACGAACGATACGATCTGTTATCAAATCATGATTCATAATTTTTGTACTTATTACTGTCTTAAATATGTGCCAACTCAAATACATATTTATTTACGTATGTACGTAAAAAAAAATATGAATCGAAAACGATTGAACGAAACTTTTTCGAGTTTTAAATTTATTAAAGATAAGAATCGAAAGGTAAATATTAACAATTTAACATTTCAATTTGAACAATAAGTAAGATAATACTTAATATTTACTTAATAATTTTTGCAAAGATCGAAACGCAAGAGAAGAAAGGGAAAATTTATTTTACCCGATATAGAAAAATCGAACATCCGTATTAGGTATCTAAGTAATACTTAGTATTACAAGTGTATTGCAAGAACAGATAACCGTATAAAGAGATCTTGAAAGAAATCTTGTTAAAATTTCCGTGAACGATTACTTCGTCAACTACCATTCACTGAAATTTCTATGAAATCGAATTACTTGGTTTTTTCGAGAAATAAGAAGAAGAAAAGACGTATGTATGGAGGGAATGAAAGAAAAAAGAAGAAGAAAAAAAAATTGCACAACCAGAGGTTGGAGACAGCACGAGACACAATTACGAGGCAATTTAATTGCCGGAAAGAGACACTTCCTTTAATCGTAATGGGCATGCATCAGCGATCCAACGTGGTGCATTGAACCCTGTAACGCCGTTTAAATCGATCATTTGGATCAGAGCCGGTGAAAGGCCCTCGACTCGTTTCGAATCACCGGTTAATTTAGTGGGGAAAAAAAAAAAAAGAAAAAAAAATTCTTCTGGTAACGTTGGAACGAAGATTGCCACTGGAAACGGTTACTGTGACTCGCCTTTAAATGGACATTTCTAATATTATCATGCTGTTGGCTCAACTGCTCGGTAAATATCGTGTAATAACGAGATACACGAACGTCTCGTGCAAAGCGTTTCGTATTTTTGAAATTATTCCAATTTTGCAAATATATCCAATGTGTCTAATTCCACTTTCTCGATTCAACTATTTATCCGTGATCCGTAGAATTTTTTCACGAGCAATGAAAACGAATCGTTGACTTTTTTCACTATAGATGGAACAACTTGTACGCTCGAAAGATAACCTCAAAATGTCTACTTAAATCGAGAGAGTTTCTAGCGATGAGTTTGTAATGATCTTTTCTTGTATATATTTTTTTTGCTCTTGTATCTTTAACGATTTTTTATTTGATTATCTTCTTTCATCAAAATATATAGCATCGTTATTCGTTGGATAATTGGACGAACAGTATATCACTCTGAAAATGAAAGTAATGCAAATCAAGAAAGTTAAAGAGAGTTTAGCGTCATTTACTCGTTCGCGATGAATTTACAATAATCTTTTCTTTCTGTATTTATTTCTCGAGTCGTATTTTTGCTCGAGTTGTATTTAACGATTTTTTGATTATTATTGTTAATCATTTGAAAAAGCGTATAACTCTGCATTTGTAAGATTGAGAAATGATAGTTCAGCATAATTTTGAAAAAATTATTGAATTGAAAAAAAAAAAAAAAAAAAAAA